TTATAGTAAATACAATTAGGTACTTATCATTTCATCTTTATTTTAAAAACAACGCCATTTCCAAAATAAAAAAATAGACCTATTTTCAAAGACCTATTTAAATATGGCCTTGAAAACCACAATGTTTTATTTACATCGAATAGATGATAGTGCAACAGCATTCATAGATGCTTCTGATAAATAAAAATACTAGTATTATTCTGGAATCCCCGTGGGGGTAGGCCTTTATATTTATAGGTATCTACAATGACTCTTAAAAGTAAAATCAATAATGGCCATTAATGTAATTTGTATTTCAACCTGAATTTGAGCAACCAATGTAGATTAACCATTCATTTGGTATCTAGGCCCACACATCCGAAAATTTAAGTAGAAAGTTAAAGTTTCTCATTTCCACTCAGTTTTTCAACAAGCACATCCCAAACATTTCAGCATCTCTAAAAGGTGATTTATTTAGCATCTCCAGTAAGTGATTTATAGCCGTATATGTTAAATAAAGGCTGACACAGCTGGATCCTAGAAATAGATTTTAAAAATCGAAAAAAAACCAAGTACCTATTCTCTTTCCTCCTCCCAAAAAATACTGGATCCAGAATTGTATTTTAAATTTGGAAGTCTCTGGGGGAAAAAATTAGCAATAATGACAACGGATGTCATATTTCTCAGAGAAGTACTTAATTTCTCAAACTTTTCTAGTGAGTGCATCCCAATTGAATTAAAACTAAAGCACATTTAAAGTGAATTTTTTTCTCACTAAAAACTCTCAATTTTAAAATTGAGATGGGCAACATCTTATCCAGTGAATCTTTAAAGTTTAATTTACCCTGGGAACACACAATGACATTCTTGTAAGAAGCCATTTTCTTGCTATTGCACAAAGGTTAATTTTAAAGCCAATCCAGGCAAATAAGTTCAGAAAAAGCAGCACATTCATTTAATCCATTTATCAAATGTTGCAAATCAGGTTCTACTTGAACAGTGAAATGGAGAAATTTGTGAAACTCTACATTTGCTGTCAGTTTTAGCATTGTGCTGATGGCAGTCATTTCAGGCAGAGAGAGGTAGCCAAGTCCCATACATATGGGGAAGGCAAAAAGCAGAAAAACATTGCAAAGACCGAACAGTTTTTTGACTGCTAAAAATTACAGATCAATTTCGATTATGAGCCAAGTTGTTATGCAGCATTCTTCTGAGTTTACGCCTCAAACACAAAGAAGCTTGTTGCCACCTTGAGCAGATATATTGGAATTATCTTCTCTTAGCTTACTTTCTCTTTTCTCTCAGGTCAAGTAAAAAATGTGAGACATTTTCATATACCACAAAGGTAATACAGCAGGCTGGAGTCACTCTAATCAAATTGGGTGCAATTCCTTTGTAAAATCCACCAATGCCTTCTTTCCTTTAGAGAGAAAAATAGACATATGCTTAATTTCCTAAATAGTTAGCTTGAAAATACAAAAATGTAACTGACACAAGGCATGGAGCGAGCAGTCAAACCTCACTCTGATTTAAGTCTATGTTTTCAATGTCCTGAAAAATGTAGTTTACTAGCTATTTGGAGGGGCTTACAGTCCTTTTATGGACTGACTGAGGAAGAAAGAATAGGAACATCTCAAAACTGAACTAAAAAGTTTTTTAAATTAACCATCTTTCAAATGCTTTCAATGTATGAACACACAGGAGTTTTAACTGATTTCATGTAGGCATTGACAATCTCATAGTTGGCTGGGTGCAGTGGCTCTTGGCTGTAATCCCAGCACTTTGGGAGGCTGAGGCAGGAGGATCGCTTGAAACCAGGAATTCGAACCAGCCTGAGCAACACAGTGAGACCTTGTCTCTACAAAAAAAAAAAAAAAAAAAAATTGTTTTAAATTAGCCAGGCTTGGTGGTGTGCGCTTGTAGTCCCAGCTACTCAGGAGGCTGAGGTTGGGAGGATCACTTGAGTCCAGGAGTTTGAGGTTACAGTGAGTTATGTTTGCACTACTGAACTCCAGCCTGCACAACAGAGGAAGACCCTGCCTCTAAAAATAAAATGAAATAAAAATCTCGTTGCTTATATAAATGCTTGACAACACTAAATATAGCACACAGAAAAAGAAAATTTTATTTCCTTAATGCCTAGAATAGGGGATACCACCTAGAAGGTTGTCACTTAGGTT